GGAAGTTCTCGGAGGTGGAACGGTTTCACATCGGCCGTAGATACCCTTCGACTACGCTTCTTTCTACCATGCATAATGACTTCTACACTGAGACCAGGCTGGATTATCCCCGTCACTTTCCATGGTCCTGTGTAGAGATCGTGTTGCAGCTTCCTTCCCCTGTGGTCGCGATGTCGACTACTCTCGGACTCGCGCACGAGCACCAGGCTGTCCTTCATGACCCCCACTCCAGCTGACGACCTCTCGATAGAGGCGTTGGCTTTCGCGCGTGCAGCAACTCGAAGCTCCTGCCGTTTCTCGAGGGCGAGTCGTACTTCACGAAGATTTTGCTTGCGCCTCTCCACGAAGTTGTCGAGTCCCCGTTCCTGATCCATCTCGTCAGTAAGAGGGACTAACGAATCCAGCGAGGTACGAGGCTTGCGGCCGAACAGGAGCTCGAAGGGGGTCATGTTAGATGGGAGCGAGGTGTCTGGCAAGGTGCGTTTGATCCACATTGCAGGCGAAACGTACTCATCCCATCGGTCAGGCCAGGATCTACACAGCTCAGCCAACAGCTCCTGTAGCCATCCCCCCAGTCTCTCTACCGCCCCTTGGCCTCGAGGGTGATCAGCCGCACCAAACACGATGCTTGCCCGCAGCCATCTGCACAAGTGCTTCACCACCTCTGCACCAAACTCCGGGCCTCCGTCGCAGCGTACCGTCTTTGGAACTCCGTAAGTTAGGCACAGCTCTACCACCACTCTGGCTACGCCCACAGTTTGTTTGGTCTTGAGCGGGAGCCCGAACGGAAACTTGGAGGCGCGGTCTACCACGAGCAAGACGTAGTTGTTGCCCGTTTTCGATGGTGTGTCGATCTTGAGGATGTCCATTTGCAACTCGTCCCACGGCTCAAGCGGTCTACCTGGCATCATGGCTACTCGTCTGCTGGGCGGCCTCTTGCGTCTACGACAGGCGCATGCCAACACATAGTGTCGAGTGTCGTTCGTCATCGTGGGCCAGTGGAAATGATCGCGCAGAAGGGACAGCGTTGCTCCTACTCCTGCATGACCATGTAGCGTGTGTACCAACGCGATGATGTCGGCTACCATGGCAACTGGAATAGCAGGCAGTTTTCTTCCCTTACCATCGTTGTACCGAATCACATCATCCGTGCCTAGGCTATACCTGTCACGCTCACTTCCCCCCTGGCTAGAGTCAGCTACATTGCTCAGAACCTTGCGAACCTGACTCAGATGGGTGTCGACTCGTTGCCGATGCGCTAGCTCGGACGGCCTTGTGAGCACTCGTGCTGTCAGATCGATGGCTGATGCTCCATGCAACGCGTGGCTCGATGACGACGTCGTAACCTCCCCCCGTGCCGCCAGCAACTCACCGATGTCGTCGTGGCCAGGACTAACGGGGGACGGCGGCAGTGTCGATGGCGACGGCGCTGGAGTTGAGGCTTGCACCGCGGAGGGGCCGATTACCTCTCTGTCCGGGAGGGCCTCCAGCACACTTGTCGGGGGCAGCTGCGCGTCGCCGATCGGTCGTAATCGTACCGAAGGGGTACGGGTCCGGCCGCTGCGGCGGGGGGCATCAGGCTCATGGTCTACAGCCGCACATGCAGCGAAAGGCAACGCTCGAAGGGCGGACAGATGGAAGTCGGCCCCCTCCGGAGTGGGGTGAGAGGGTTGGGAGTCAGCATCGCCTACCTGGTCTACCTGCACAGGGTCCAACTAAGCCAGCCTTACACCCTTCAACTCCGGTCCTTAAATCTCTACCGCAGCGCCTGCAGCACACGACAGATCATCCGGGAACGAATCGTCGACGTCGACCTCTACCGGGTTCGCCACAGGCAACCGGGACAAAGCATCGGGCACTACGTGCTCTACCCCCGCCTTCCATTCCAGTTCCATGTCGTACTCCATCAGCCGCAGCGCCCACCTGTGCAGCTTGGGGCAGAGTTCACGGCTCCGGAACAACCATGTGAGGGCAGAACAGTCTGTGACCAGTTTGAACCGTCTACCCGCTAGGTACGGCCGAAAGTGGTCTACCGCCCAGAGGACCCCCATGCATTCTCGTTCCGTGAGCCCGCGTCTAGCATCGGTTTGCAAAAACCGGTGGTTCGCGAACGCCACCGCTCTGGTGACACCATCGATTGTCTGCATTAGCGAAGCTCCTACACCCAGCGTGCTAGCATCCGTGTGCAGTTCGAACGGACGCTCAAGGTCAGGGAAAGCAAGGACCTTCGGGGAAGCCAACGTTTCTCGTAAAGACTGGAAGGCGTCTTCCTCAGCTACGGACCACGGGATAGGAAGCTTGCGTGCACGTTTCGAAGCGAAGGCTTTGTTGCGCAGGATGTTGGTGAGCGGAGCGGCAGTCAAACTGTAGTTGGGTACAAACTGACGCAAGTAACCGGTAAGACCCAAAAACGTGCGCAGCTCTTCCACGGTGTGTGGGCGAGGCATGCGTGCGATTGCATCTAGCTTAGACGGAGCGGGGTACAGACCCGTGCTGTCGATGATCATGCCGAGGAATTCCTGCGATGCTGCGCCGAAAGGGCACTTTGCGAAGTTTACGGACAGCCCCGCAGCCAGAAGGCGGTTCAGAACGAGCGTCAGAGTGGCGAGATGTTCTTCCCATGAGTCGCTAGCGATGAGAATGTCGTCAAGCCAGCTAAACACGCCTGCTAGATGCCCCAGAGCCGATTTCACTCTACGAGTAAAGGCCGCCGGAAGCACCGTCAGGCCGAAACCCGCGCGCGTAAATTCCCAAAGCATTCCATCCGCATCTCGAAAGGCCGTCTTGTAACGGTCTTTCTCGGCAATTTCCATCTGGTGAAAACCGGAGGCGAGGTCTAGCTGAGTGAAATACTTCTTGCCCTTCAACCCGTCGAATATCGTCTGCATGTCACCCAAACCCCCACTATCGGAGACCAAGAGTTTGTTGAGTTCACGCCAGTCGATGCACAGTCGCAGCGTACCATCCTTCTTCTTGACGCACAAGCACTGGGCAGCCCAAGGAGACATGGATTGACGGATCACTCCTCGGTCTACCAACTGCTGAATCTCTGCCCTGATCATGCGTCGTTCTTCCGGAGAAAAACGCCGTTGTTTGGCTGCGAAAGGCGTGCAAAACTCGTTGATCAGAGGAAGCTCAAGCTCACCGTTCATGCAGGCCGGCACTCGTTTCGGGTCGATCGGAAACAGGCCGTCCTCGATGAACGCTGCGAGAACGTTGACGAGTTGATGCTTCTTGAGCGACCCCAGCGTCCCCAGGTTGGCGTCCTCTACGCGAACACGCGGCACGGATGCCCCATTAGGTGGGGACGGGCTCGGGGCGCGCGGTCCACGGGGAGGCAGGGGTTGGTCGGCAGCGGAGGGGGCGATGTCAAACAGCGAATCGAAAGCCGGCTTGTCGCGAACATTGAGTGCAATCATGCGAGCTATCACCCGGCTGCCCTCGACTGCCGCCTTCTCCTTACTACAGTTCACCAACTTGCAGTAGACACGCGATCCCGGAACCCACCACATTACCGCACGAGCTACTCCTACTACAACGCCCTGCTCTAGATCAAACCGCTCGGTCGGCAAGACCATCACTAGCTGCCTGTCCTGCGGTTGTGGTCCCACAGCCGCAGCTTCCACCGCGCGGGTGGTGAAACCCTCGACAACACCTGATGGTTAGAAGAGGACATCGCTGCTAGTGCGAGACAGACGGAGAGCGAGTCGTGTGAGATGACAATGTGAAAGGAGTAGATTCAATGCAAGGTCACTAAGCGCGGGCGAAAGTACAATACGAGCATGCACGGCAAGAAATTACAAGGGAACAGCAGTGCAATGATCTCAAAGGGGATAAGTGTTTCCGAAGGAAAAAAAAATTGGAAATGTAGCACGACAAACNCCTCAAAGGGGAAAAGTGTTTTCGAAGGAAAAAAAAAAAATTGGAATTGTAGCACGACAAACTGGTTAAACTAGTACAATGGATACCATATAAACGGCAGCAAGGTAAGTGCTTGCGCACAGCATAAGCAAATGTCACGGGGCGTACAATTCGAATGCAAAAAACCGACAGCGTTATTACGGAACAGTCGGGTGCTCCCTGCGCGCCATCGGAACGCTGGGCTCATGCAACAGCAGTTGGGATAGTGCGGGCGAGACTTAAGAGAGAGGTGACTGTATTGTATACACAGAGCGAGTAGTTTTTCGATGCACTTATGAATCTGATGTTACCTGCTCGTTGTAGGGCTCAAGAGTTTTTTTTGTTACTGACATCACAGTACTTTAAAGCCCAGAAAAACACCAAGGATGTAATATCAGGTGCCCATATCTTGTGGTTGATGGAAAAAATAAAATAAAGTAGCCACCGAGACAAAAAGCTAGTTTAAAGCTGACAAAAAAAAAACGAACAAGAAAAAAAAAAAGATTTGAAAGTAATGTATTTGAAATCAATACTGCTGTAGGATATAAGCGAAGTATCAAAAGGAAAGGGCTAATAACCAGACTTTAGAACTTAATCAAGAAAAAATTAGGGCCATGCATATAAAAAAAATCAATTCAACCGCCTAATACTAAGACGATAGCAGCACACCTCGTTAAGGGCGCAGCAAAAAAAATGTCACTTGATGTTCACTTTCGTGAAGAAAAATTCAAATTAATCTTTATATGCCTTGTATAGTAAAAAAAGATGCTGATATAACACTACTTATGGGAACGACAGCCCCATGCTTTGTACGGCACACGTATCCAACCAGCGAAAGCAAATAGCTACACACGATTAGAACCGCAGGCGTGCGGCAATCAGGACGGCTTTAATCGAGATACGATCGAGCGTCAGACGCCGCGGTACCAGAAAGTAGGGTGAGAAGGAGGGGCAACCTAGCTAGGAGAGGCCCAACCCACCAAAATAGCGTTCTGAAACTACAGTGGTCAACAGGTTACTGCCGAATGTGAGACTTTACCAGGGAGGAGAGGTCACGAGGATGATCCCAAACATGCACAAGGTTCAACACAAGCGAGCAGGTCGACCCGGAGTTGTCGGCCTTACGCACTTTTCACACCATCATCGTTTCTGGCTGCCCTGGTGGGGGAAGCGCTGAGCTCTTCCCCCTGTTGACGATGATGCCCACTGCTTCTAGTTCGTCGACGAGGTCCGGTATCACCTGGATATTTTCCGCTGTGATATTTTTGAAGTGCAGGCTGATGTCGTCCATATAAGCTTTCAAGCTNCAAATAGCTACACACGATTAGAACCGCAGGCGTGCGGCAATCAGGACGGCTTTAATCGAGATACGATCGAGCGTCAGACGCCGCGGTACCAGAAAGTAGGGTGAGAAGGAGGGGCAACCTAGCTAGGAGAGGCCCAACCCACCAAAATAGCGTTCTGAAACTACAGTGGTCAACAGGTTACTGCCGAATGTGAGACTTTACCAGGGAGGAGAGGTCACGAGGATGATCCCAAACATGCACAAGGTTCAACACAAGCGAGCAGGTCGACCCGGAGTTGTCGGCCTTACGCACTTTTCACACCATCATCGTTTCTGGCTGCCCTGGTGGGGGAAGCGCTGAGCTCTTCCCCCTGTTGACGATGATGC